TTTCATTATTTACTATGTGCGTTTTGTGTCATTTTTAAATGTATTAAGTAATATAGGGTAATAATTTTTTTTTAATTTTGAAAAAATAAAAAAAAGTTTGAAGAAAAATTACTATTCGAACCAAATAAAAAATGCAACTGGTGACTTAAAAAATGGAATACTATAAAAGAAATAATTGGGAACAAAAAAGTTAAATCAAATAGTTTACCTGCTCAAATCGTCATTGACAGTATAAAGTACAGTGACAAAAATATGATTGCTGAAAAATTCAACGAATTTTTTGTTAACATTGGCCTTAATCTTGCCTCAAAAATTAAGTCTTCTAATAACTCAGTTCAATCATACCTAATTGTTACCCAGAGCGAACTAAAATACAAAAAACTACCAAGAACTTAATGTTGCTTTAAATTCCTTAAAATTAAATAAAACTCCAGGTATAGATGATATCTGTAGTAGGGTAGTGACAAATGTCTTTACAACAATAAATAAATATATATTTGAAATTTTTAAGTTTTCGATTAAAACAGGAGTTGTACCGGACAAGTTAAAAGTAGCTAAAGTAGTAACAATATTTAAAACAGGTAAATCATACTTAATTAATAACTATAGACCTATCTCGGTACTCTCTACCTTTTCTAAGCTTCTCGAAAGAATAATCTATAACAGATGGTATGAGTATTTAATCCAAAATAGAATCCTATATAAAAAGCAATTAGGTTTCCAAAAACAGTATTAAACTAAACTCGCAATCCTAGATCTAGTTAACAATATAAGCAATTCTTTCGATAAAAAACAGTATGTTCTAGGTATCTTTATAGACCTGTCAAAAGCGTTTGATACTGTAAATCATAATATTTTACTTAAAAAAATGGAAAGCTATGGGATAGAAAACATAACCCTTGACTGGTACAAAAGCCTCGGAAAAACTTTTATTTTATTTTTATTTAAATTTTTTTTGCCATATAAGTATATATACATACAATCAATATTTCAGTATAAATACAGATGGCCGGGGCAAAAAGAAGACACGATTTGTCTTATCACCAAGCCCCGAGAATTGACTCCGTAAAATAAAAATTATTACTTAAAGCATATAAAATTGTAACCGGCATATATGAAATAAGATTTTCTGGTAATAAATATAAAAAAATAGCAAAAATATATAAAAAGAGTAATAAATACATAAAAAATAAAGTTTTGCAACATATAACTTGTGAAAAAATTTATACTATTCTTTTGAACAAATCAAATAAAAAGTTAAAAGTTTGAAAAAATAAGATAATGGTTTAACTCTTTTAAGATAAGAATAAATAAAAAGATGTTAATTAATTAAGAATAAATACTAATTAATATTATTAATCAAAAGTAAAGTCGATAAGTATCTGAATCTCTCCATAATATATATATATATATATATATATATATATATATATATATATATATATATATATATATATATATATATATATATATATATATATATATATATATATATATATATATATATATATATATATATATATATATATATATATATATATTAAAATATATAGGTTAAATATATAGGTTATGATTAGCCCAAAGTGACAATAGGTTGGAAAGATAACTTTAAAATAAATTGAAAAAGCTTATCTGTAATACCAGATAAATTTAGAAGAAGTCATGCCGGAAGCATTTGTTTTAATTTTGCTTTGAATTCGTTAAGAGTTGGATGAGTTTTAAGTTTATTAGACAAAAATTTATTCCATACTTTTGTCCCTCTAATAGATATTGAAAACTCCGTTGCTGCAAAAAAACATTTAGGCTAAATATAAGTGTTGTTTGAGTATCTGGTTAAGTAACTATTCTTATTTATTATGAATAACAAATAAAAAAATGTTGAGTGTTATTTTTGAACATAAAAATTAAAAGATGATTAATGTTTATTTGGTAGACGGTGAGTATATTTAGCTTTATAAATAGTTTTTTGAGTGTGCAAAACGGTCTGCATTAGATAATATTCTGATAGCATGTTTTTGCTTATTAAAGAGTTTTTTAATTTTTGTTTTGATTTGTGTTACTTTAAACTATGTTTGCAATATAACAATGAATAAAGGATAAATTTTAACGAGTGTTCTCTTTTTATAGCTTGACTGCCAATACAAAGTATTGGAAGTTTTAAGGGGATTTTATCGCGTTCATGAAAGCGATGGAAAAACGTATACTTTGTTTTAGTTAAACTAATTGATAATTTATTTGCATTAAGCCATTTTTATGAGTTTTATGTTAACTGAGTTAAACATCATGGTAAGCGTGAAACAAATTTTTATGATCTAGCAAATAAAATAGCGTCTAAATTACAAGATTTGCTTAAGTCATTAATATAAATTAAAAATAAGAGTGGTCCTAAAATTGACCCTTGGGGAAACCTGCTGTTTATATTCATACTATCAGTTTCTCCGCAGCTAAAAGAAATGTATTGTTTCCTATTTGACAAATAGCTTTGAAATCATTCAATATTCAAATTTTTAATCCCGAAATTTTCTAGTTTATTTACGAGAACATAATGATCAACAGTATCAAATGCTTTGCTAAGATCAATAAAAACACCTAACGTATATTTATTTTTATCAAATGCCTGAAACATATTTTAAACAAGATGAATAATTGCTTGATCAGTGGAGTTATTCTTTTTAAATCCGAATTGTTTATTATAGAGAACATTGTTATTTTCTAAAAAGATAAATAGTCGGTGATACATGATGTACTCTAATAGTTTAGAAAAGCATGATAATATTGAAATTGGTCTGTAATTGGATACGCTTGTAATATCTCCGGATTTGAAGGCTGGGACCACCGTTGCAAGTTTAAGTTTATCATGAAAAATTCCCTGTTTCAGAGACATGTTAAAAACATGCATGAGCGGAGATTTGAAATAAAAGATTGATTTTATTATTTTATTACTGCAAACATCAAAAAAGAGACAGCATTTGAAAATTTTTCAGTTAATTTATTGTTTTCCATTAAGGTATTATTAGCGATTAGGTATGATTTAAAATCAGATTTATTAACTTTAATTTTTGATGCTAAACTTACGCCTGAGTTAACAAATACATGGTTAAGCGACTGAGCAATTAAAGATTCATTAATAATTTCACAGTCATTTATAATGAGTTTTTTTGGAAAACTATTACAATTTGTATTTTTTTTACCTATGACGTCTTTAAATATGCGCCATGTTTTTTGAGAATTATTTTTAAATTTTGGTATAGTACGACTTCTTTGAATACTTTATAATGGATTCATAAATTTGTTCGTAATTTTTGTACTTTAACTCATTTTCAAATTATTTTTTTTATAAATCTTTCATTGAGGCGTTGTTTTTTTTTTTTTTTGATGATTTTATGATACCCGGTGTTATCCAAGGGTTTCGAAATGTTTTTTCTTTAATAAATTTTATAATTTTTGGAAATGCTTTATTATAGTGGTACTTTATGTTTGCCGATGACACAAACTTATTTTATTAATCTAACTCAATCAAAGACCTTTATGAATGCATGAACAAAGAAGAGCTTAAAAGATTAAAAATTAAATAAGTTATTACAAAATACACAAAAAATAAAATACATATTGTTTCATTCCAAAAAACAAAAAAATAATATACCATCTACCCTTCCTTCACTAAAAATAGATAAGGTAAACATTGAAAGAACAGAAACAACTAAATTTCTTGGGATATTTATTGACAATATATAAGTACAATAAACACCAAAATTTCAAAAAAATTTGGGATACTCTTCAAAGTTAAACCTATGTTATCCCAATATAATCTTAAATCGCTTTATTTTTCTTACATACAAAGTTATCTTACGTACGCTAATATTATATGAGCAAGAACACACAAATCCAAATTGAGTACTATTTACATAAGTCAAAAACATGCATTAAGATTAGTTTATAATAAAGATAAACCCTTACTAACCACGCTGAACCCTTACTAAAAACCTTGAATGCACTAAATGTTTACCAAATCAAAATGTACTATTGATGCTTAAATACAAACTTGGACTAGTCCCATCGCATTTTTTAAATAACGTCTTTCAAGTAAACCCCAATAGGTATATAATAAGAGCAACATGCAACTTTACACTGCCCAAAAGAACAACAAAGTTCTCACGGTTTTCTATTTCCTACCGGGGTTTGTACCTATATAACAAAATCTATATAAAAATATATAGAACTTAAAGTATTATATAATGCTACCAACTTGAAAAATAAATTAAAACACCTAATAACAACTTAATAATAATAAATTAATACCAATTAAAAACTTAATAATAATAAATTAATACCAACAATTATATCGACTTGTATTAAACTAAACATTAAAATTTATACTAAAATAATTATGTGTATCACTAGGTGTAAATTGTTTAACCACTTTTGAGTTTATATAAAAATTAAAAAGACTTTATTTAACCATTTAAAGAGGTACTCGATGATAAGTCTTCATAGACTTCTACGAGTTTTCCTTTACAACATGTATATATCTGAAGTACCAAAAAAATTTCTTTTTTTTATTTAATTTATTTCGTCTTTTTTTTTTAATTTATTTCGTGCACTTATGCCAGTTATTGTAACTGCTTCGCACATATGCCAATTTTTGTAAATTTATTCGGCGCACTTATGTCAATGTCTCTAAATTCTTTTGGCGGTTTTTGCGACGCTCCGCACTTACGAAATTCGCGCTTATTCAGCCTCCCTGTAATTTTATTTTATACATGAACTGTTACAATTAAAATAAACACTAATGAAAATTCTGCACAGGGGTGCCCCTTAATGCCACAAAATTTCAAATAAGGGAGGGGGATCTCTGAAAATGTCTAAAAATATGTCACGCATTAACAATTAAAAATCAAATTCCGAGAAACTTAAAAAAAAGAAAAAATTATTTTCTTAAATGTTTTTATGAATGATTAGGAGCTATAAAATAATTGTCTTCGGAAAAAAAGAAAAAGAAATGAAACAAGCAAAAGCAAATATTATGTCAAAAAATTTACACTGTTAGAAACAATTTTTATCCCCCTCTTAATCGAAGAACTAGATGGAGAGTAGACTCTTTTTGAATGTTATAATCGCTCAGGGTTCTGCCATCTTCTAACTGTTTACCAGCAAAAATCAAACGTTGTTGATCTGGTGGGATACCTTCTTTGTCTTGGATTTTAGCTTTCACATTGTCAATAGTATCAGCAGGTTCAACCTCCAATGTAATGGTTTTGCCAGTTAAAGTTTTAACAAATATTTGCATACCACCTCTCAATCGAAGAACAAGGTGAAGGGTTGACTCTTTTTGAATGTTATAATCACTCAGTGTTCTGCCATCTTCTAACTGTTTACCAGCAAAAATCAAACGTTGTTGATCTGGTGGGATACCTTCTTTGTCTTGGATTTTAGCTTTCACATTGTCAATAGTATCAGCAGGTTCAACCTCCAATGTAATGGTTTTGCCAGTTAAAGTTTTAACAAATATTTGCATACCACCTCTCAATCGAAGAACAAGGTGAAGGGTTGACTCTTTTTGAATGTTATAATCACTCAATGTTCTGCCATCTTCTAACTGTTTACCAGCAAAAATCAAACGTTGTTGATCTGGTGGGATACCTTCTTTGTCTTGGATTTTAGCTTTCACATTGTCAATAGTATCAGCAGGTTCAACCTCCAATGTAATGGTTTTGCCAGTTAAAGTTTTAACAAATATTTGCATACCACCTCTTAATCGAAGAACAAGGTGAAGGGTTGACTCTTTTTGAATGTTATAATCACTCAGTGTTCTGCCATCTTCTAACTGTTTACCAGCAAAAATCAAACGCTGTTGGTCTGGTGGGATACCTGTAAAAAAAATGAAAATTTTAATTTACAAATAATAACATTATTTATATCTACAAATAATTAAATTAAAAAAATAGACAATCGTTTTATTGCTTAATAACTAAAAAAAACTAGCATAAATACTAATTGCAAAATTTATTTTGATATTAGGAGAAAAATTTACATAATTTACAAAATTCTATTACAATAGTCTATTTGATTTGACATTTCTTAAGAACTTATTCTTAAACAACTTATATATCTAATCAAAGTATTTTTTCACAAATGTCAGAGAGAAAACCTGTTTTTTTGTTGCTTTTGACTTTTTTTTTTTTAATTAAAGAAAAATTTTGTACAGAAAAAAGAGTTCAGTTGTCAAAAACTTAGGTTCCTTTGCTTCCTTTAACTTTATCCACATATTCTATAATAACATAACAGAAGATTCCAAAAAAATCAATGAAAACCTGTTTGTATGTTGTTTTTTTTTGTCTTTGACTTATTTTTAAAACTAGGTTAGAAAACTAAGTTTTCGTACAGAAAAATGGGTTTGTCGTGAAAAACTCAGATTCTTTTGCTTCCTTTAACTTTAATTTATTATTTTTTTAAATATACTCACAGATTTTAAAATTTGTTTATAACTAAGGGCTTCTTTAATTAGTTTTTGATTTTTGTGACTGTGTATTGCATGTCTTAGAAGTTTTTCACAAAAAGACAAAAGTGTTTTTTTTATTTGTGTTTGTGTCTGGATGACTATGACAATAACAACAACTATAAACTTTATAGGTTATGTCTCAGTGAAGGTGTTCAAAAAGAGATAAAAATAATACCTGACAAATAGACATAAATGAAATTAAATTTGATATTCAAATTAAATAGGTTTATAAACACCATTATTTAGACTTACAATTATTACAAAAATTAATAGCTTTATGTAATTTTGAGCAAGAACTGATTGCAAAAATAATATTATTAATACTTAATAAAACACAGATCTGGAAAGTTATTGTGAATATTTAAATTAGTATTGAAAGATAATGACTTCAAAAGCCTGCGTTTTATCAAAAAGTCTAACTTTGGATCGTCTTAAAGATTTAACTAACAAAACATTGCACACAAAAAAATTCTTTTAATGTGTTTTTGCGCGAATGTTTATACTATTGTATCATTATCTAATGTAATCGTTGTTTTTATTTAAAATAAACTTAAATAAAATTCATAAACGACCTTTAAACGGATATTTTACCTGTAATTAAATCAAGTAAAGATGCTAAATAAATAATATCTTAGTAAAGAAGCATAACTACCTTCTTTATCTTGAATTTTTGCTTTCACATTTTCAATAGTATCAGCAGCTTCAACTTCCAAGGTGATGGTTTTCCCTGTTAGAGTTTTAACAAAAATCTGCATTTTTTTATAATAACACTTGAATCTTAATAAGAAACCTCTCGTAAAGCTTTTTATTTAATGACTGAAGCGTTATTCTTTTCTTATTTATACGTTTATTTTCTATAAACAAGTTATTTTTAAAAAAGTCATATGACTGCTTGTTTTCTATTTTATTGGATAATTATAGTTCCAGGCTTTTAAATGTAAGGGAGTTTTAAAAAAACAATATTTTAATTTTTTCACATAATAAATTTATTAAGCTATGTTATAAAACAAATTTAATTGTAAAAAACATAACAAATAATGTGTATTTAATATAATTTATACTTTTTTCAAAATGATATATATGTATTTTTAATTTTATTTTGTCTTTAGTTACCCCAGTTAATATTAAACAATGTTATACAAAATAAAGGGGGTTTTAATCCAAAAGAAAACAGTTGTAATATAAAAATGAAAATAAAAATAAAAAATTGTATTTTATATATAGAACATTATTAAGTTAATACAATTTTTAATATTTTATAACAAACAAATTTGTTGAATTAAAAATAAAATAATAATAGTATTATTACCTAAAAAAATTATATTTTACTGCCTGAAAGATAAGCTAAAAGTTATATAGTCGCACCTTTTCATTAACTTTTTTGACGTCATTAGGTTAGAAAACAATGATTTAACTAGGGCAAACTGACCAATTAATGGCCACATCTTTTTTTAAAGGCACTCTGAACACAGTAATATTGTCAGATTTAAATTTTTTTTTGCTATACTTAATAATAGACATTCTTTTAATTTATTTTGAGTAATTGTTACCAAAATATAAAAAAACAACAATGTAAACAATTCATTTGAATTAAAATTTTGAATAAACACCAATTAATGGCCGGGTTGACTAATTATGAGCCAGTTCACTTTTTATTGAAATATTAGATTCTACTAACTTTGCCACAGGTTAAAATGTTGTGAAAATAATTTAATTTTAATAAGATTTATAAAGGCTTTAAAAATGTAAAAAAAAAAGGCTTTAAAATGTAAATAATCAATATAAACTAGTTAAATATTGATTATTAACTGTTACACATCAAATTTTAAAAATTTTTTAAACGTTATAATTACTCAATAAAAACTAGCTTAGACATAAGTACCCCTTCAACAATGGCCAAAATAAATTATTTGTAAAACTGTATATTGATTCAAAGAAATTTTAACAATCAAAACTCAAGAAATACATTAAAAATTACTAACAAAATTTGATAAAAAATATTAACTTGTTCACTTATTAATAACAAAATCAATATGTTTCAGTTGCCTTTTTAATTCTCTGTCCTGTTGCAGTTTTAATCTCTTTTCTTTTGCATCAAGTTGCTTCAATTTTTTTATTTTTGCAGCCTCAACTTTTTCCTCTTTCTTTTTTAGATCATTTAACTTGGCTTGCATAGCTTCAGGAGAAGTTAGAACAAAATACTTTTGTTTAGTATTTCTATTGTTTTTTGACTTATTGACATAAAAATTTGGGTAAGAGATAACATCATGATCATTGTCAATGGTACTTTTCAGTGAATCTGTTTTAACAGATATTGGACTAGAATAATCAACACTAGTATTTGGTATAGAGACAGAGTGAATATCAGTTTCTTCTGATAAAGCAATTGTTTCAGCAGCTTCTCTTAATAAGAGATCAAAAGAAACATCACTGATTGCATTCTGGTTTATACGAAAGTCTTTGTATGCTAAATACAAATTGTCAGAAATATCAAAACCATTTTGATAACAGAAATTAAAAGCAGTCAGATGCTCTGGAGTTAAACAACTATTCCATAACATTAATGCTGTGTCATTATCCAGCTGAGCTAAATCTACATTCAGAATATCTGATCCAGTCAAGATGCCTATAGTTTCAGTTGTATCAACATCATTAATAAAAGTACAATTTGAATTAGGATCCACCTGTTTTTCAAAAGCATTGTTTAGTGATATTCCAGATTGATAATTTATGGTATCATTTTTGAAGGAATCAAAACTTGATTTAAGCAAATTCTCATTCCCTAATAACTGGTCAGAGTAAAGTGAATTGGGCAAGTAGGCCTCATATGGAATTGCAGAAGGATTATAGGGAAAGATACCACATGATTGAAAACCAGAAATAATGTTAGTGGCAGTTAATGCTTGATCCCAAGCTTTCTTGAACAATCCACAGAAGTTAGACTTATTGATTGTAACAGAGTATGTATTCATTAAATCATGACAACAAGTATTGTAGTAAGTCTTCAAGGGACCAAATACAGTACGATCTAATGGCTGCAACCAGTGAGAACAATGTGCTGGCATCTCAACAATTTCAATGTTGTTGTCAATAGCAACAGATAATAACTCAACTGAATTGTGAGAATCATGACCATCAACTATTAATACCTGGGGCCTGTTAGTTCCAATGTTTGGCAAAAATGTATTTGTAAACCAAAGGTATGCTATTCCTTGTTTTGTCCATCCAGTCTCACTAACACTCCATTTTGAACCAACTGGTGCATCACTTGTATTAAAAGCTTGAAGTGATTTTATTGTTTTACCTTTTGGTATTAGATGTGGAGGTATAGTTTTACCAGCTGCATTCACAGCAGCAATTACAGTGATGGTTTCCCTTTTTCCTGAAGTACGAGACTGAAGATGTTTGGCACCCCGTGCTGCAACAATTTTGGGTGGTTTAAAGTCTAATTGAAGTCCAGTCTCATCCATATTCCAAATTGAAGAAGGCATAACATGAGTACCCAACTTATTAAAAACTTGTTGAAGTGCTAAAAAATATTTAGAAACTTTTTGGACTGACATGCATTGATGTCGAACAGATGATGTTCCTTCAGGTTTTCTTAAAACCATAGTCTTATGTCGTTGTTTAAATAACCGCCACCATTTTTCTGATGGGGTATCATGTTTAAAATTTATCTGGTGTTTCTTACTAAGCTGTGAGACATATTTCATAAATTGTCTTTTCCCAAACCCAATACCGCGATTTGCTCTAGATGTGGCATAATCAACTAACTTTTTTTTCTATATGATTTGGTAATTTTGGTGGAGGTCCAGGTTTAACTCCAATTAAGGAGTCTCCTCGAAGATATTTTCCTAGTGTTGCTCTGGGAATTTTATATTCAATAGCTGCTGATCTTTGTGATAATGAACTACTTTTAACTGCATTAATGGCATTTTGCATGTTAGTTTTTGACCATTGAAAACGTTTAATTTTCTTCATAATTTTGTTATTGCTAAAAAAAAATATACCAAAACAAATTCGACTATTGAAGAATATGTATACATTAATCGAATTAAATATAAGAATATTATATATATATATATATATATATATATATATATATATATATATATATATATATATATATATATATAAATATGTATATGTATATATATATATATATATATATATATATATATATATATATATATATATATATATATATATATATATATATATATATATATGTATATGTATATATATATACATATTTATATATATATATATATATATATATATAAATATGTATATGTATATATATATATATATATAATATATATATATATATATATACATATATATATATATATATATATATATATATATATATATATATATATATATATATATATATATATATATATATATATATATATATATATATATATATGATAATAATAATAACAATAATAATTTAAATCATTAAAGAACAGAGCATAATTACCTTAAGTAAGCTTAGTACTTAGGTTAAAATACTTTGCTTCTTTAATAGTCTGAGTTTTTCAGAGATATTGTTATTATTATATTGTTTTGTAACAGTATTGTTTTACCTTACAAATGAAAGAAATAGGTATTTGAATAACTAAGTGAGTAAATTAAATAAATTTCTTAATATTATGTTTGTATTAGCACAAAAAATAACTAAGTTTACAATAAAAAATAAAAACAAACAAATAACATATAGGTAATATTAAAAAATTGTAATGGCTACAAATTGGTACATTATACGGCCAATAATTGGGCGATGTGAGTGGTGCTATACAAAGCCTTTCAAAATTCTAAAACTTATTGTTTGCAGTTCAACAAAGTCTTTAAAAGATAAATGTATGACTTAAATTTTAAAATAAACGTTCTTAAATAACTGAACTAAAAAAATGCATCATAAAAACTATTTTAAATATGTTTAAAAAATCCAAAACCGGCTACTTTTCTCCCCAAAAAAAGCGATATCTTTAACATAATATAAATATTCTATTTATAAACTGTAGCTTAAATATATATATTGCATATTGTTTATAGTACAAATAGCTGAAGAAAAAATCCAAATATTTGATCAACCTGTTTAAAAAATCTTTGAAAAGAGCCCTCAAAAAAGCGGCTCTTAATAGGACGTGGCCACTAATAGGTCAGTTTGCCCTAATTACGTAGTCTTAACGGTGTGATAAATGAATGGAATGACTAATTTACGTAAACAAGATATTGCTTAACTGTAAAATGTTGAATAATTTAAAGTGCTTTAAAATCTTTTAATAAAAAACAACTATTGGCTCATTGTCACTCTTACGTCTCAGAATCTCTTTATTTTTACATTTTATATTAAACAGCAAAAATTTCAGCTAAAAAGATACATGGGTTGTTTTGATATTGTCAGTTGAAATAATGCTGGTTCGGCATTTTCTAAAGAGACAACAAAGCAACTTTTATCGTCGGTATAAAAGGGAAATGAACTAAGTCCATTTTTGGCAGTATGGAGTTATTTATACCTATATTTAGTATTTTAAATTCTCTATCGTTATATATTCTACACAAATTTGGCGCTACTCGACTTTCCGCCCCCTCCCCTGTTTTTATGATTGATTTTTATAGAGTACATTATTCTGATTCTAAATCATAAAAAACATAGGTCTGAAAACTTGAGGAAAGTACTCTAATTTGATGTTAAAGTATAAAAATCCACATTAAAAACGCTAGGTAGATATATGTACGTTTATTTACGCCAATCCCTATTCGTCAGACGATGTATGGACATTTAATCGCGCCAATTCTTATTTGTCAGTCGATGAATGTACATTTAATTGCGCCGGTGTATGTGCATCATTAAATATAAAAACAACAATAAAAACCGGGTCGTTAGTTAAAAAATTAATTATCTAAATTTTGAAAACAGTGTTAAAAAGATGGTGGAATATTAGCGTTTTTAATGAGGATTTTTATACTTTAACATCAAATTAGAGTACTTTCCTCAAGTTTTCAGACCTATGTTTTTATATGATTTAGAATCAGTATAATGTACTCCATAAAAATCAATCATAAAAACAGGGGGGGGGGGGAGAAAGTCGAGTAGCGCCCACAAATTTAATAAATCAATTATTAATGACTTAAAAAGATTTTTTATTTCAACTATTACACAAAAACTTATTATTTTAACTATTACGCAAAAACTTATTTGTTCATGATCTCAAAATGATATTTTTGGACCTAGTGCATTTTCCTTGCATACCGACGATTTAATATTTTTGCTCGGGGAATTTAAAAATATTAATCTAAGGACTTGATAAACTTAAGAATGCCTCTTTTATCTAATGTATTCAAGGTTATTGATTTATAAGTTTTTTTTTTGAGTTAAAATAAAGGCTGTCAGCCGACACCACTGGGGAAAATGTTGACTGTATATCATTACTTTATTTTAGGTTTACTGAAAAAAGTTACAATTGTGCATTAATGCATAAACTTAATTTTTTTCAGTAGACAATGCATAATTATATATATAATCTCTGTAATATTGGATCAAAGTCACTCAAAAATAATATTTTTTTAGAAATCAGAAAATCTTAAACTTTGTAACAAAGAATAACTTTTAAAACAGTTTTTTTAAATTAAAACTTCAATATAGTGTTACTAAAATATTAATTTAGGACATATTTAGTCATGGGCATACGAAGGAGGCAAGGGCAACTTCGCCATTTTTTTTCTTCATAAAAATGAATTGATAGTGATAATTCATTTTTGGAATAATGGGATGAGCAAATAAAAAAAAAAAAAAAAAACTTAAGTTCAATTAGAATTTTATGTTTTTTTCATTTTCTATGAAAAATCTTTTGAAAGAAAAAATTAAAAAAATGCTATTTTGTATGTTTTATGATGAACTTTGGTAAGATTCGTGCATCCGGTGTGAGCATGCATGCAAATATCCTTTTGCCCTATTTGTTTAGCCATGATTAAATATGTTTTGAACTAGTTATTAATTAACTCTATATTTAATTTTTAATTAAAAGAATTGTTTAAAAAAATATTATTTCCTTCATTATAAAATTTAGGCTTTTCAAAATTCTTGAAAGATGTTATTTACTTTGATTAAATATTACAATAGTAGATAGGAATAACTAATAATATACAGTCAATATTTTTTCAAGAGATTTTGGGTGATCAATAATTTACAAATCAATAATTTTAAATAAAAACACAATACTGATTTGTTAGACACTTGAAATTCAATGTTTTAAAAGTTTAACCGTGTACGTATTCGCTGTCGTTAACACGTATTTATTATATAATAATATAATTATGTAGTTATTATATTTGTTTAAGATTAAGTTATTTTATTGGTTTATTATTTTATCTGAGATTAACTTAAGCTTAAGGTTAACTATTTCACAACTTATCTATTTAACAAGCCATGCAAATTAACTTGTGTGTAGATTTACGAATTAGAATTTACATATTGAATGAAAATAGATAATAGTATAATAAATTAATAGGACAGTATCAATGTGAGAGTATAATTTCAAGATATAATTAAAAAATGATAGGATGAATTATATAGACCTACGCTCGTTGTCCTTAATTTTTTATAAATTAAATGCAAAAACCGATAGAAACCAATCCAGTAAAAATTTTGATATTGGTCTATTAAAGTTTTTATAGTTATTCTTACATAGTTTCCATTTACTAAGACTGTAATTATTCTTACATAGTTTCCATTTACTAAGACTGTAAGTTTAAGAACACGCACAGACTGGCAATCGGGAGATTTTTAGACAAAAATTAACGCCGCGGAGTTCAACATTTTCTGAACTAAAAAACCCTAAAATTCTCAGATTTTGTAAACTTTAATAATTTTCTTTTGTATTTGATTTTCTCCAAAATAAACTACCAAATTCTTTTTTTTTTTATTTAAACAATTTAAATACATAAACATGACACTAAAAACACAGAAAATGGTAAACTTTACTCCAAATGAAACCAGTATTTTTCTGCAACAAAGAAAATTTCTGAAAAAAAACATCCTCCTTCGCCTCCATCAAGGGTTTATCACCAAGGCAATTTTCAAGTTATAGTCAGTTTTTTAAGAAAAATGGTCGGCTAGCCGGGTATTTTACATATTTGAGTAGAGTGATTTCTTTTTTTTTAATTTGAAGTCGTACTTTTAAAAAAAAAAAAAAAAAAAAATTTGAAGTTATTTCAATTTATCTTAATATTGGTATTGATTTTTACTATAACACCTATATTGCAAGTTGACTCCAGCGCAATTCATTTCCAATTATTTATTTTTTAGCCATTTACATACTAAAAGCGTAATTTTAAGTACTTATTGAATTTTATTTTTATATATTTATTCTTTTGTTGTGATTTGATTATGTAGGCATTAACAAATTTAGTACGATACAAATAGAAAAGGAAAAAAAGACGTATTTCTTTAGGTGGTAAACATTTATCGAATAAATAAATTACATAAATCCAAATCAAAATAAGGCACGTCCCGAATATCAACTTTTACTTGACATGGTTAACGCATTAGCATCTTTATTTTTGATTTACAAATATAATAAATCAAAAATTTTTATAATAATCGATATTTCAAATTTCGATTACTTTAAAAAGCACTAACCAACGCAATTACAACTAATTACTAAAAACTAGTTACTACACTCTTTTTGCTTTTTTCTAGCTTTGTCGTTTTCTCTTCTTGTGCGCGTTAATTCTCTAGCCTAAAAATATAAACATAAATGTAAAAGAGTAGATTGTGAAACATAAATGCAAAAAAGTAGAAACATAAATGCGAAATAAGGAGCTTAGGAAAAACAGAGTAAGATTAAAAGCAATTTGAGGCAATTAATAAAGGAAAGGTTTTTCAAAAAATTGTCTTATTAGGTCTCAAATAATGCGAAATAATATAAAATTTTTAAAAATAACCATCATTTTGTAAACAAATTATTATTTTAGATTTTTGAGCATAGAAAATTATATTGCTTAAATGAAGAAAAAAAGTGTATTATTACAAAATTTTTTTATTATAGTATTTTTATATCGATATTTTTTATAAAATGGTTTTTGAAAATTTTATATAATTTTGTTTCATTTACCCAATAAGATATAATTTTGAAAAACTTTTTTTTCAATATTAGGAATTCGTTAAATGTTCAAGGGTCTTTTTTCAATATTAGGAACTCGTAAAATGTTCAACTATAAAAATAATTTTTATTCAAACTTTTTTTAAACCGAGTGTTATTTTATCAAATAGAACACAGGACCGACATAACATAAAAATAACATAAGAATAAAATATTGTTCGTATATGTTACAAATTTATAAAAGTAATGAAATAACATAAAAATAAATAATTGTTTGTTTATGTTAAAAATTTATAAAAGTAATGAAATAACATAAAAATAAATAATTGTTTGTTTATGTTACAAATTTATAAAAATAATAAAATAACATCTTTTTAAATCTTTCAAAAAAAAATTTATTGGTTTTTTTTCTATGACCATTTTAATAATTAATTTGAATAAAATAATTTTAATCGTTTTGATTTAGGCTGACTATTAATCTGAAGAGAGAAAAGCATTAAAATAATATTTATGGACAATTAAAATTTATTTAGGTAACTAGGAAAGGGAAACATATCAAAATAATGCATATGAACAATTAAAATTATATATTTATTAAAACTACAATCATTTTGATATAAGTAAGATGTAAAACGCATCCTGAAACTGTCTTGTAGAAGGCATTTTAAGCAAAGACATATGGAGAAAACAACTACGTAATGGTAAACCAATAGCTTTATCTATTAGTATCTAGATTAAATGTCTCATAATCAACATCGGCATATATTTATGTGTCAATTTTTTATTTGCCATAAAATTTTCATTAAACACTACTTCACATTCTCTTTGTATCATAGTAAATAACAGAATAGTATTGGGAACAACAATCCCAATTCTACTCTGTTTTTGATGTTGCTTATAAAAAAAATATTTCTCTTTCTCTCTACCCAACTGTCAATGGTTGTTTTAGATGACTTTAATGCTGAAAAGACTAGGGCTGGCTAAGTTCTAGCAAGTGATATAAAGGCTCAAAATTTTTACCTGTTGTAATATCTTACCTATATTCAACAACCTACTGTCTAGACCTAATGACTGAATTTAATTAAAAGTAACTTAAAAATTTAAAACAAAGTAACTTTTAACATAATATAGTTTCAAAGTTACACCAAATTTATAAGCACATAATCATAGCAATGTAAAATCTTTTTTTATTTTATAATATCACAACTTTTTTGTCATATGTAACAATAGGACAAAATACTCAGTAACCATTTTGCCACTAAAAAACATCCAGGATGACCAATACTAAACAAAAATTGCCAAGACCGAGTCTGAAACTTTATCTTTATTTAATGTTTGGCAAAAGTTTAGCTGCTTTCACGTTAAAAATAATTTTACAAATTGATGTTAGGTAAGGTAAGGTAGGGTGGCAAACACTGGAATGAAAATGATAACTTTTTCGTTATTTGCCACCCATTCAATTTAACATAGTGTGACTTTTTTGAAAAAAGAATAACTTTAAATTTTTCACCATAAAACTGTAGTTTTGAGCCACTTGTCATTGGATTATTTAAAAATACCTTTTAATACTATTTAAATACTATTTTTTATCTCTCTTCAACTTTAACTTTTAATTTTTTCTTTTTAACTTTTAATTTTGAATTTTAATTATAAAAATATATTTATTACCTATTATTTATTACATTTAAATGTAATACATATGTTTGTAACATGTTTAAAAACAAATGTTAGTAAAAGAAAAAACAAAAAAACATAACATGTTTGTAACATGTTCAAAAACAAATGTTAGTAAAAAAAGAAACAAAAAAACATAACATGTTTGTAACATGTTTTACATATGTTACAAAATTTGTCACAAATGTTACAAATATGTTACAAATATAACATTTGTTAAATATATATTATGGTAAATATATAATGAACATACAATAAAGCATACATTATAAAAATGTTAAAGATCAATCTACACAGAAATAAATATAATTTATTATAGTAATACCTTTTCTACAAGTGGAACAAGTTCACCTTTTTTTGCAAGGAGTTTTAGTAATTCCATAATGAATGGTAAGTAATTGTGTTTTCTGCGTATGTTTTCTATCTAAACAAAAAGAATTGAAAAAAAAATTATTTTTCATAACTCCATAAAAGCATAAATTTTAGTTTTTAAAAACAGTTTTCTTATAAATTTTGCAAACTTACAACCTTGCATCATGCAACTAACATAATCATAAAACCATATGTTGGTTTAACTCCGTTGTAGCAAGTTAAAATATTTTTTATGTTTAATAGTTGAGTCTCTATTTAAAAAACACTTATTTTGTTAGGAATTAAAGAAAACGATTTTTTACTTTTTTAAATAATCTATAAATAATCTTTTAAATATTCTAAATAAAACATTTTCTTAAAATGTTTTATTTAGAATTTTGATAAAACGATAGTTTGTTCTTTTTTCTTTTAACTATTTTATTTAGAATTTAAATAAAGCATTTGTTTTGCTGTTTTTAATTTATTTGAACTAGCAAATAAAATTAATTCTTTTTAAAATTCTGAGGTAGGCAAAAATTGTCAACCTCAGATACTATCAGGTCAGCAGTTAGGTTATAATTGTTAAATGCCAACCCTAATTCCAAGGGCTGATTTACATACCTGCAAGTTTGTATCTCAGATGGATTTGTTGAAATAGTAACAATTTACTGGTAAATACAAAAAGTTACCTTTTACCAAGCTCAACCCTAATTACTATCTTTTTGTTATCAACAACAAACTTCCTTATTTTTTTAAATAGTAAGGTTGAGTAATTAGTAAGCAAAAATTTGATTAGCTCAGACATCAGGAATCTTTTCATTTAGAAGAGCCAAATGTTTTAGAGAATCATTTAACAAAATTAGAAGCCACACCTCAAAAACTAGTGTAATTTTTCAAAATATAAAAAATATTGATATATAGATTAAAAAATTAATGAAAGACTTGCTATTGAATAGCTTGGTAAAGTGTCTCAATATTATGAAAATATGTCTTTCATTTTTATACAACACTTGAGACTTTAAACTATTCATATAAATTTTATGTTTGTTCTTAATGTAACTTGACTTTAAAAGGAATACTTACTGAAGCATGTTGATCCAAGAACTGGTAATGTTTTTCGAGACTTAATTTTAGATGGTTTTTAAATTAGGCTTGATCAATTGAATGAAAAGAGAAAAAATTAATTTTTGAGGTGTGAGGTGCCAGCCTGAAGAATTTTAATAAAAAAAGTCAAAGTTTTTTTTAAGACTTTTTAAAAATGTTTTCCAAACAAAACTTATAAATTGAAAACTGCTTCAGCAAAAAACTTACAATCAACAGAATAGGGTACCGTTTTGGTGACATCAAATTGTTTGTTTGTCTGAATATCAATCCCACAACCACTTGTGTTTTTAAGAATATATTTTGTTTCTGTGCAATGTTTGTCCACATTTCAACCCCAGAAAGCATTGCAAAAATCTATTTTTAGAACCGCAATGGTACGCTATTAGAATTTGCCTAATGAAAATATTTTAACGTGTCACAACAAAAAATCTGGAAAAACATTGTAGCTTCAATACCTATGTCTAAAAGCTTGAATAATCAGGAGGCACTTCGAAAACGAATGTACACTTTTTAGGATTTGCATCCAAATGAGAAAAAAACGTTAATTGTTAATCACTTTCACATGGCAAATGTCCCAAAACTAACTCTGTATATAGATATATATATCATTTTTCATTGTTTTGTTGCAGTATATGCATAATATACTGCAACAAAACAATGAAAAACGAACAATATAGGATCAGAAAGAGATTTAATTTTTATCAACAGTATATTTTGAAAATTATCAACACAAAAACTATTTGTTATTCAAAAAAGAGAGCAACAACTAATGGGGTAAAATTAAAAAAAAAAAAAAAAAGCAAATACAAGCCAAAATTATTAGTTTGGATAGCATAGTCCAAGTCTAAAAGCATTATATTTCTCCTTCGGGCCAAGCACTTGACAAGAATGTGTACATTTCCAAATGTCTGGTTAAGTTAAAGAAATTCATCAATAATGAGGTTCAAAAAATGACAAAACTTTTTCTTGACTTTCTCAAGAAGACATGCAAACGCACGTCTTTATATGACTAGGCAAATTACATTTTGCTATGACGATTTGATCACAGCTATTTCAAAAAAATTGTAAAAATGCGCTGAATGAAAAATATTCTGAATTATACCTTAAGTGAAATAAATTACACCAAAACTTCTTAACAAATGTTTTTATATTTGCGAAATGCTTTTAAATAAAATGTAACAATAAAAAATTGTTTTGTCTTTATAAACAATGACATTCTACAACAACAAAAGTCTCTTTAATGAATTTTAATATAAAAAATAATTAAAGTTACAGGGTTTATGCGAAGTATAAAACATTTTTTAAGAAAATATAAAACATTTTTTAAGAAAATATAAAACATTTTTTAAAGAAATATAAAACATTTTTTAAGAAAATATAAAACAAATTTAAAAAATTATAAAACATTCAAAAAGAAATGAAAGAATCTTTAAAAATATAAAACATTTTAGTTGATTTAGTAGTCCATTTATGATATATATAACTTATTCATAATATTCTAAAGAATAAAGAGTATTTTATATAACTATAACTCATTATATTTAAAGATATAATATAAATAACAAAGTATCCACTTTAATAAAATTCTTGTCTTGTTATGCCTTTCAAAACCCATCTTCTCATATTACAATACCAACCACAAAAATCAACGCCAATTGTCGGTATAAGCGAATTTAAAGTAGCCTTAACTTCATTGCTAGTTTTTGGAAACGGCCTTATAGAAATATAATTTAAGACTACTAAAGTATTCCTCGATCAGGTTTAATTTTATTTAATATAAACTTAAAACTATAACGAACATTATTAATCATACTAAAACTAAATATTTTATAAATATAAAACTTTTATTCCAAACTTAAAATTCTGATTCTAAACTTTAAAGTATGATAAAAAGCTTGATAATAGACTCAAAAAATTATCCTGTTCAGGTACCAACTAAACAGGATTGGCATTAAAAAACCCGCCTAAAAAAACTCAAAAAAAAAACCCCCGGGAAAATCTGGGTTTTATTGGGTTATTTTAAAGATATTCAACAAATTTATGAACTATTATAACCAACTTAAATATTATAACTATAATATTATTAACTAAAACAGCTATTAACTATTATTATTAACTAAACTATTATTAACTAAATTATTATTAACTATTATTATTAACTATTATAACCAACAAAACAACTATCAGATCAGGTTTACTAATATTCGAATCATTATTTGGAAATACATTATTACAATTTTTATTCAAATATTTTTATCGATTAAGATTTTTTAATCTTTTATGTAATTCACCTCCCAAGGTGAATTTAAATGAGTAGTAGTGGCCAGAGAAGCCCACTACAGTCGAAGAGGCTACCTTTTTGTGGTTATAACCCTCTCTTAACTCTTTAACTCCTAAACACGAATCTTTATAAACAAGGCCACTGCACGGAGAAACAAGTTTGTTCATTTGAAGATCAAGTTCAAAGTTTAATTAAAACTTCAGTTACTACCTCCCATTCTCTAGCCTTCTTTTTTCCATTTATCATTGAGATTTTTAATTATATAGAACAATACTTTTAAATTTAAAATAAATCAATACATAAAGAATTAATGTGTAATTTTTTACACGTTAATCTATATGTATACTAACTACCAACTAACAAACAACCAACGCCCAACTAACTAACAACCAACGCCCAACACTAACAACCAACGCCCAACACTAACAACCAATGCCCTTTTTTTATTTTTATAGTTCTCTTCTTTGTTATGAATAAAATAAAAAATAAATTCCAAAGTTTAATAGAGTAATTAAGTAATTAAATGTTTTATATTTAAAATATAAAACATTTAATTAATCAGTTGAATGTTTTATATATATTAATAAATGTTTTATATTTTCTTAAAAAATTTTTTATATTTTTTTTAAAAAAGTTTTATATTTTCTTAAAAAATGTTTTATATTTTGCATAAACCCTGTAATACATTTGAAAAGATAAACAAAATTTTATTGAAAAAAAAAGACAAATGTTTTAGAAAGCTGTTACAATTAATTAAGTTTGATCTTATATCAGGGTTGCCACCAATATTTAGGAACAAAATTCCCTTACTTTCCCTGATTTTTTTTGCCAAAATTTTGCTTTTCCCTCACTGATTTTCCCTGATTTTTTGCTAAAATTTTGCTTTTTTCTCCCTGATTTTTCGCCTTAAATTTTGCTTATTTCCCCCTGATATTTCCTGCATTCAAATGCCCAAACTTAACATTTAAACTTCTCCAATAACCCCAGATCATTTTTACCTCTAAAAAACAGATACTATAATCCCCCAATGAGTAATGAACCAATCAATTTGCTTGAAAATTAAAATAAATAATCAAATACTTCAATCAACATATGAAATTTTTCTTTGAACCAGGGTATATTTAAAACGGATATGTTTAATAGGCATCGAAAACCTGTCAGACTTATCTAGGGTACAGGGTTGGACTAGCTCTTTGTGGCAGCTCGGGGGATAATATTTCTTTTCATATTTTGCACTTGGCAGACTTTTTTACAGTGCCTATTACCAGCCATTTTTTAAACAAAGGATCACTTAACCGTTTTTCTTTGAATTGAGTTGCATTGCTTTGAATTAATGTAAACACAATATGATTAATTTTCTTGTTAAATGTTAAACATTACCCCTGGTACCCTTAAATTGTTAAAATGTTAAACATTAACCCTGGTACCATTGAAAGGGAAGATTTTTATTAGAAAAAATATCAAAACATTAAAGAAAAATTAAAAAGTTCCCTGATTTTCCCTAAATCAATCATTTTCCCCTGATTTTCCCTGATTGTATCTAAATTTCCCTGAATTCCCTGATTTCACTGATTTGGTGGCAACCCTGTATATGGTTTTATATTATCGAAACGCTTTTAATGAAGTAACAAAACACTAATAAATTTTAATAATAAGTATTATTATTATTAATTTAATAAACTGTTGTT